GTTTTTATGTACCTTTCTATTAAAAAAAAAAAAATCTCACAGACCTGAAACTTTTGAACATTAAATCTGATTCCCCTTTGCATTTGTGCAACAGGCATGTTAAAATGTTCAGCATCTGCAAAAAATATGCTCCACATTAGGTATCACATTTTGATGCAGCGTGTGTAGACTTAAATGGAACGCTGCAATTGACACTGGTCATGATTAATTCATTGCTGCACCTGTAACCGCAATCTTGATTATTAATTTAACTAACTGTGTGAAGCCCTAATTATAAAAACTAAAAATAGACGGGACATCTACACCTGAAAGTCTGAAATAATACTGGATAAATAATATTTATTATACTTTATAAATAATATTATAAAAAAAACAATACATGATAAAGGTGTCTGTAGCTTAAAGACTTAATTGACTGCAGTTTTATACTCAATACAGACACTTCAATAGCAAGCAGGTAACTTTGAACAATGAACCAAACTCATAAGCGATTAAAGAATCATTGAGTGTAACTCTTTGCTTTAGAGACGCATGCAAAACACATACAGTTCAAATGCATCCTCACCATTAAACTCTGGGTAATTTCACCTGCTTCCTTCCTATCTACAAAGTGCAAGTAAGTGGAACCAGAGCAAGCAATGAGAGCCAACACCAATGGCAAACACGGTTCAATACGCCATCCTTTCACTGGTTTTCACAGTAAGTAAACACAAAAATGTCTTTGTGGGCAGGAACTCATCATTACTATTCTAGAATAGACTAGGAATGTGTCTAAAAGCTGAAAAATGCCATATGAAGATAAGCATGGTATGTGTTATATAAGTATGTGTTAAGATAAGTGTTATTTAGTATTATTTATATACTATTATAGTATTTAGAAATATTTTTAATTAGCTTTTATCATTAGATTTTCTTTTTCTTGCTGTTATGTGCTTTTGATATTTTATTAGTATTGGTTTTATTTCTATATAGTTTTAATTCATTTTTATTTCTTTTTGTAAGTTGAAAAATGCTACATGAAGGTAAGCAAGATGTCCGAATCTGAGGTTTTACCATCTACTAAGATTATAAATGTCCATTTATTTTCCTATTTTATTTATTTTCCTATATTCTAAGATATATTCTAAGACGTACAGCCATCTGCATTAGACTAGAAATGTAGAATAAAATACCAAAAGTTTTGCAGAATTGGCAGTATTTATGTTTCCCATTTTGTTAAACTACTTAAATTAATACTTTATTGAGAAAGGATGCATTAAATTTAAAGACGACTTGCATTTTAAAACATTCAAATAGAAAAAAGTTATTTGAAATTGAAATAATATTTCACATTATTTCTGTTTTCATTGCATTTTTGATCAAATAAATGCAGCCGTGGTGAGCATAAGAGACTTATGCTTAGACTTTCAAAAACATAAAAAAAAACTTACAGACCACAAACTAGTAAAAACAAGGATGCTTTTTTGAAAAAAAAAAACAGCTCAGAAATGATGTTGATAAAAAGCTCAAAAATAAAGCAGCTGGGTTGCACTGTGTTAAGATATTTTAGTAGTCAAAGCAAACAGATACAAAGAGTTTGTCACCTTCTCTGAACTGAAACAGGGCTCTGTTATAACCATTAATAACATATAGCATACAATTTCTAGTTGTATAAAAGCAAGGGAGAGACCTTTAGGGGATGGACTGATTCAGTTATCTTTCATCACTATAAACTGACAACAGCAGATATCAGTGGAGAAACAGCTGGTGATATGGAAAGGTTGGCTCATGCAGGCACAAAAAAATACAAAATAAAAAACCTTGCCACGTTCCTTAGTTAAAAAAAAGGGGGCAACACAAATAGCAGTCATTCCTTCAACACTCTAGGCCAGCAACGAGTATAAGGAAGTACTGTAGGAAAACTACCGAGTAGGGCTGCACGATTAATCGAATGCGATTGTCATGTTTATTAGTCACGTTGAATCAATAAAAGCAGTTGAATCTTCTGTTTATTCAGCTGCAGTGATAGGCATTTCCTGGGTTTCTTCTGCGAGGCGTATTTGACGTTTCAGCGCGAGAGCGCCCTCTGGCCTTTGGATGGAGATTTACTGCTGATCACAGAACCGTGCTTCACTGAAAGATACGCATAACAATCGCAGCTTCTGTCGAATCGCGATTTCAATTCCATTTCGATTTATCGTGCAGCCCTACATCCGAGCATGTTTTTCTGAACACAACAACAAGCAGACTGTTCATGACATACTAACCTCCATCAACCTCACCATCAGAGTCAAGGCTATTTTCCCCAGGTACAGGCGGAGCATCCAGCGGCACGGGTTCCTCTCTTACTGACAGGACGAGACGTTCCAGCCGCTCAGGATCCTAAGAACAAAAAAAACAACAACTCTATTTTATTGCCAATTTGCTAATTTCCCAGAAGTAAATATTAAGCCAGCTGTTAGTCAATAGTGAAATCATGCATCAGTTACTGTTTCTTGTCTCACCAGGTTCTGGAGGTCCTCGTTGTTTCCCACATACAGGTTATTGAAGAATATCTGTGGTACGACACTGTGACCTGTGAGCTCCTTCAATCGTGCTCTTAATTCTCTGTGCTTGTTCACATTCACATCACACACAGGCACACCTAGCGTACTCAGAGTAGCTTTGGCCTGTATGCAGTGTGGACAGCCTGGCACGGAGTACACTGTTACCCGTCCCCTCATGACGGTCCCGTCCTCCACCATCACTGCACCTGAAAGGTCAGAGTAAATGCAACCATCCAAACATTTGAAAGTTGTCACGTCAATTCCCTGAACATTTCTCTCTTACATACAAGTCGTAAAACTAATGAATCAGTTAATAAACAGGCACAAGATGTACATTCTGGTGTCCCAAGACTTTTTTAAAAAACCATTACAGGCAAAAATCCTGCATTTAAGATAAACTATATAACATAAAATGGTCTGGGTGTCTTAACATTCTTTATTTTGTGTAACAATTAAAACCATAAAACTTAGCTAACTCATGCCATAATTTTGGAATAATATATTGAACTGATATTCAACTGTAATTATAATTAATTAATTAATTAATTAATTGCAAAGGCTTTAATGGCTGTCCCATATTTTGTGTGTGCATATTTTTGCTAGAAATCACAGTATATTTATTAGTATTTTAAATGATCTTTTATTTTAATATTTTCAGTTTTAGGTTTAGTCATTTTGCTTTGGTCTTTTTTTTAACATTTCTATTTAGCTTTATTTTATTTGTATTTCAGTTTTAGTTATTTTCTGTACTTCAATTTTAACATTTTATTTCAATTGGCAAGACAACATTTCTTTCATTTTTCTAGTTCTTTCACTTTTTTATTTAAATTTTTATCTAATTTGTATTTTATTTTATTTAATCTTTAGTTTAATGAACAAAAATAATGTTATGCAGTTTTAATTTTAGTTAATAATAACACCAATGATATTTTATTACAGTATTGAGACACGGTGGTTGCAAAAATGACAAAAATCACTTAAAAGGGACAAATTCATATTCACTCATATTTAGCTGAAACCCCTCAGGTTAACAAATATGATCTGATGGCCAAGCACCTCCATTTATGCTTGTTAAAAAAAGAGACATTTTATATAGAGGTTTTACTTTACTTTACTTTACTTTACTTTTAGTCATTTAGCAGACACTTTTATCCAAAGCTACTTACAAATAAGAAAAAGTAATTAAAAATAAAATCTAAAACTCTATAAATACTATATATATATACACATTTAAGAAAATAAAATAAATAAAATAAAAATGACAAATGCATACAACAACATTTCAAAACTAAA